ACTTAAACGCAGTTAGTCTGCTCATCATAAGCAAGCAAGACTTGAAAAGGGGCTGTCTCTTATACACATCTAGATGTGTATAAGAGACAGCAGTTAGTCTGCTCATCATAAGCAAGCAAGACTTGAAAAGGGGATTAGTAAGGCTACAAAGCTTTTTTAGTATGTCAAAATCTCTATCAGTATCGAGGTTAAGTTTAACTCGTTTTTAATTATAATTGCTTGAAAAGTTTTAGAAAGCTTAAAATAAGCTCTGATAGGAAAAAACTCTACTATTATTAATTATGGAGCTTTTCAGCGATAAAAGCCTGCGACAACAGTTATCGCATTGATAAATACACTTTAAAAGTTCATTATATCACTAAATATTTAATTGAACGTATGAAAGCTTGCTATCTAACTCATCTATCTTTAATCGGGGAACTCTATATGATGAGTATTATCGCAACATGAAAATCGTTTTCGATAACTTTCATTCCACTTGTTATTCAACTACTCTCAATAATTTTGTCCCTGTTACTGGAATGATAAACCCCGTAAAAAAGGTTAAGCGAAATTATAAACACTGTCTTTATCATGCTGAAAAGCTTAGCTCAAGCTCAAGCAATACCTCCGATATTATTAAAAAGCTTAGCGTATATGCAAAGTGAATTTCTTTAAGCAACATGAAGTGTCGCTGCTACTATTTTCATGACTATTGATGATATTAATGTTATTGCTGTTGTTGTTGTGGCTGAGCGYATTGCTAAGATTACAAATTTTGTTGGCAATATTGCGTTTGATTTTGCATTTGCTAATGCTGCTGCTAGTCTTATTATTATTGTTGTTGCTGTTATTCATATTGTTGATATTGATATTATTGCTATTGTTGCAGTGTAGTTGTTGCAAATGTTGCAGATATTTGCTACGACTAATCATGTTGCATGCGTACCTATCTTTGGAGGCGGTGCGCTTGGTCACATCCGTGCTGGAAAGGCTAACGGGGCGTGCATTGGCGCGTCTACGTGCTAACAACGGCACCAATTCCACACCCTCACCACCCGTATTGGCACTGGTCGGCTCGGTATTGTTCGTGTTGCTCGTGCCCAGAGTTGGCGCTTCACAATGGCGTACAAAGCGTGGGCAGCGTTTTTGTTTTATAGCGGCAGTTGTTGTTGCAGTTTGTGGATTAATCGCCGTAACATGGCTTTGGCCTTTGTTAGGCGAGCTTTTATGTGGTTTTTTCAACGCTGGCATGGCAGCARCGCCACCACCACACCCCTTATTTGTAACMATGCCGGGGCAGGTGCAAATGCAGAGCTCACAGCAACGTTGCACCTTTTTGTTGGTGCGTACTTTACGGAATGTTGGTTTCTCAGCTGGCGTAACGGGATTATCCTGATCGAGATCTTTCAGCATTGCCTTGTTAGTCCAACCCTGCGTAAAGGGGATTTTGGTGAGATTAAGAGCTTTTTTATTATTTTAAGGACATGATTGAAAGACAAGCGGTACTCTAATCGTCGTTGATCTAATAAAAAAACTTACGGATGTAGCTACAATATTAATGAAAGAGGTCCCCTCGAACAAGAGTTACTATCTTCTCAAAGTCTGCGTCAATTCAAATTCACTATTTAACATTTTGAGAAACTAAGAGCTTTTTAAGAAAAAAGATCTGCATAAAAGCTTCGAAAGCTTATCTGAAAAATACTTTCCAAAGTTTAGAAAAACTAAGAGCTTTTAAAGAAAAAGTTGTATTGATGCAGCAAAGGGGAGTTTTCCTCTTTTTTCTTTTGTTAAATAGGTCCGAATGCATAAAGTTTATGAAAAATAAGATAACTTTAAAAAAAAAATGATGCATAAATCCTTTGAAAGCTTCTCAGAAAAATATTATTTAATGTTTCGAAAAAGAGCTTTTCAAGAAAAAATGTTTTGATAAAGCAAAGACGACTTTACATCTTACATAAACAGGTCCAAATATATTCTTCAAAGCTTAGAAAAATTAAAATCATTTTTAAGAAAATTTTCTCAGAAAAATGTTCTCTAGAGCTTTTTACGTTAAACGTTTTACATGAAAGCTGCGAAAGTTTCTAAAAAAGCACTTTGGCATTTTGAGAAACCAAATTCGAGTTTTCATCTATCTTCATCTTTCACTTTTAGATGGCACACAGACTCACTTAAAAGTTTATGAGCTTAGAGCTTTTTAGGAAAAAAGCCTTCATGAAATTTCGTTGGAGCGAAAAGGAGCTTTCATCTGTTTAAGTATTTTCGAGCTCTGAAGTAAGTAATTTCCTAACCTGCTAACTGGAATATTATGAATTTCGTTTTTATAAATAAGCTCACCAGCGATTTCATAAAAGTGCTACCCGCCGCTTTCGGACTCCGCCACGGYTTGCCGCCAGGTCCTRCCTTACCCCASGGATCCTTACTCAGCTGAAATGAGACAGAAGCACACACACACGAAAACCAACAAATAATATCATTGCATTGTAAGTTTAGTATCTGCAGCTCACCGGCTTTTCCAGCTTCGCGACGAGCTTCTTCTTGCGTGGCGAACCCTTTAACAAMGGCTGCGTCTGTACACCTTGCGCCAGCGGGCACTTATCGCTATCCGATACCACAATCTTTTCTAGCAATGGCTTACCCTTACYAGYCGCGGCGGCACCCGGTTTATAGCGTACCTCAATGTCGAGATGTCCTTTATTGCGAAACGACATAGATGGGTGATCTTTGAGCGTTATATGCAAGGTCTCACCGTTTTTTGTGGCGCCCAAACCAACACCAATGCCACCAACGCTGCTGCTGCCGGTCACATTGCTCTTGGTGGCACCACCAACAATTTTGGCGCCAACACCAACATCGCCAACGCTACGCTCGCAAACGGTCAACACGCCGCCGGCACCGGGATGACAAGCATCGCTGGTGGTTTGCACTGTGTGTGTATGGGTGGTGATGTGCGGTGCTGGTGGCGGTGCCGGCGGTAATGGTGGTATGTGATGATGTAGATGATGATGATAACAGGTGGCGGGGTCATGACATTTTTTTCGCTGCGAGAAGTARTCATTGTAGCGACAGGGTTGCCAACAGTTGAGGCGATGCATGGTGCTCTGAAAGAAAGTAGGAATATGCATGAATATATATATTTATATTTTATTAATTTTTAARAAATATTTACAATTGTGGGCGTGGAATGCAGGCCAACAGCTGTGATGTCCTTGCGTCTGATATCCAAATTCGGCGCACCGCCACCAGGACGACCCCAGGGATAATGCTTAACAAACAGTTCGTAGTACTGCAATGAAAGAAAAGTTCCGTTTTGTATAACTTTCTGTACGTGTATGTGTGCGTGTAACGATGCGAAATGGCTCAACTAGGTCAGTGATACACAATTTGTTGTTGTTTATTTTATTATTTATTTTATTTTATGCATTTACAGCGTGCGCAAAGTTCTTACCGCCACAACAGAATTATAGGCACACACACATWCAGACATACTGCACCACAACACTCACGCAAACACGCAAAAGTCTSCGAAACTCTTTTGTGGCACGGGAAAAGTCGGAAAGCTCGCTGCCAGACACTCTCACACTCCGCCGTCGCGCATTTAATGAGGAAATATGGGCACAAGCGCAAAGTTATTGTCTACTTTCAGGCACGGCAACTGTCTTTTACAACGCGCGCGCCAAATTTAACTACCATATACCGTTAGTATCACAAGCACGTGCTTACCCCAACCTCCGACAGCTCTACCCATTTTTCGCATACTTTCTTGCTGACTTTGTTGATTTTGTTTTGCCCAAAATGAAATGCCAAAATTAGCTTCGTTTGTAGGTTGTTGTTATAGTTGCAAATAAATAACAGCACTACAACAACAACAATGAAATTTTTTTTTCTTTTTTACCTATCTCTTTACAAAAAACTTCATGTATACTTGCCACTAGGCAGTTCGCAACTGATTTGTCTATAGCATGCCGCTCCGCAACTTCATTATCAACAACCCTTACAAACACCGTCACTACACTAACAAAAAACTAGGAAGTAGCGCGCAATTCGTAGTCACGCGATATTTGCCTGAGTTCGTTGCTCGCCTTTCTTGTGGTAGGCTCCACGCGCTTGGCTCTTGGCCTACGATTTCTGCCGACTTTCATATTTGGGTAATTTGTACGTTTCCGCGCCGCTACTTATGCTTAACTATTCCAATCAACATTGCCGAGACAAGTCAAGGGAAATCACATTGTCAGCCAACGACTTGGCAGCCACTGACTTCCTGGTTTTATTGCTTGCAAATTGCATGGCAATATTTCATTGCTGAATTCGCTGAAGCGCTTGGATTTCCAATTATTTACATGCTTTTATATTACTTGTATATTAATTTTTATTTTGGATTGGGGTTTCTAATCATATTGGGTCGTTAACCTCATTTACTGAGATAGATTGTTGCTTCATTGTAAGCAAAAGACATTAACTGTTATTAAATCCATATTTCAGTATTTATATAAATATATAAAAAGGTGCATGGCCACACTATATTGTGGCAAAACTTATGCCACCAAAACCGTCACTGCCACTCGTATCATCAATAGACAAACTTTTTTTTTTTTTTAATTTTGCTGACAACTAAAAGTGACTGAACACATAATGCGTGGATTCTGTGCCAATACTTTCAATAGCGGTTTACTAAATTCCCTGTTGATCAGACAAGCTCCGAAGASCATTAACTTAGTGATTGTCCAAAAGGGGCTGATACGGACGGAATGAAAATATTCAGTTATCCAACTATGTATAAAGTCAGATTAATCGAGGAGACTARTATTTCAAGGAAACTGTTGGACACAGCTTTTAAGAATATTTAGATATAAGAAGGGTATGTGCCCAACCCATCTATTGCTCATTGTTTTTTTCGATATTCGTGGTTTGGTACGTTTTCAATTTCTTCAAGAATGACAGGAGGTCAGTCAGGAGTAGCCATATTGAGGTCTGTGGATTCATTGATTTTACACGATAACAATGCACCATCGCACCGAGCCACGATTGTTACCGAATATAAAGCCAAAAATGGAATGAATAGTGTTTTAGCTCGTTGGCCGCTATCTGTATGCCGGTGCGAGCCCTTCTGATGGCCTCTATGTCTGTATAACGCTTTCCTTTCAGGGGCAAAAGCATTTCTACGAAAAGGAAGAAGTCGCACGATGGCATATCAGGTGAAAACGGGGAGTGGTTATTGGTTAAAATGTGATGTTTGGTCAAATAATCGGTCACAAGCGTCGTGGATTCTGAGCAATTTTTGGTCGTCAGTCAATTTGTGCGGAATAAACCATGTACACACCTTTCGTAAGCCCAAATGTTCGGTCAAACTGCAATAAATCGATGTTTTTGAGATGCTCAATTCCACTTCCATGAATTTCAATGATAATTTCGACTGATTTTTGATCAATTCACGCACAGTTTCGATGGAAGTTCCAGTGATCACGGATTTTGGTTGCCCCACATGTTGATCGTCATTTATGTCCTCACGATCAGTTTGAAAACGTTGATACCCCTCGTGCRCTCTGCTACCGGATAAGCAATTCTCACCATAAACTTGTTTCATCAATTGAAACGTTTCGGTAAAAGTTTTAACCATTTTAAAACAAAATCTAATTTTGACTCTTTGTTCGAAGCTCATTTTCGCACCGATAACACAAATGTACTAACACTTAAAACGCAATAACTTCACTTCCAATCAATTAAATATCATGAAACTGAACAACTGAACAATCAATAACGATAGCAGATTCTAACGCACTAGTCGACATATAGATGGCACTATCAGGGGACGCTAGATTCAAAACGTCCTGTTTGCTTTGGAAAGTACCTTCAGAGAAAACAGTTTTTCTATAGAAACTGTTTAAATTTTTTGGACTACATTCAATTYATGTAGAACAAAACACAAATATCTYTCTTTTACCTAAATATTCAGTTAAAATTCTACAAATAGCATTTTTTACTGGTATGAAACCCCTCAGTCAATATTCTCGAAGTAAAATTTGCGTCAATAGAAATAATTCTATCAGTGAGTCAAGATGTATTGGTCRGCCTGGCGTTGCTGCACAAGCATAATGACTTTAAAGTCACTACAGAAGAAGTTCTAGAAAGATTCTTAAAACATGGACCACATCGAATTTTTTTTTTTTTTGTGGAACGACCGTATTGTACATTCCAATAAAGTTCGCGAACGTCTACGATTTATATTGTTTTTTTTTTCAATTTAATAGCGTTTGATATTAGAAGGTCGATTTGAAATTTTTCCACCATGATACTAAACTGTATAAAGACTACTATATTTCATATAATAATATTCATTTTTCAAGTAAGTGTTTATTTACTCCTCAACRCACTTGTGCCAACGTTTTTTCTAACCCTCAAAACACTTGGTAAAGYYAATTTCAATTYTCGGAWTAGCCTTCAATCCGTGTAGCGATTCARCTTTAATGTCTTCAATTTACTCAAAACGGTTTCATGATATCCTGCAAATCGGAAAGCTTTGTTTCACAGACGTTATAACGACGCTGTTTTCGAAAAAAWTTTGTGATTTTTGAATCAATCGTGCTTTCACTTTTCTAGGCYCAAATGATCTTTCAAAATGTATTTGACTGATCCTTCCGATATTCCAACGATGCGAGTAAAATCTCTAACTGTTAGTGGTTCATCGTCAACGCATTCCTCACTMTCTTTKAATAATTTGTGTCAATCAAAAACTTTTACTCGCAATAAAYAATTATCACYGAAGGTCTTTTCTGAACGTTTCAGCGCCAGAAAATTTAATTGAATAATTTCACTCATCGTAAGAACTATCGAATAATCTTTATGTGCTCCTGAACTACAACCGTATACTAAACACTAAAGATTATTTTAAATTTCAATTTTTTCCCCATAGTAGTATTTAATGGACAAAAATCTTAGTTATATATATAGTTCATATGTAGTCAACCACTAACTTGCTCAAAACGCAGATAAACGTGGCATGAGTGGAATATTACAATTCATAAGGAATGACATGAGAAATATAGTAGGAGTGCTAGCTGGTCACGGTCTAATAGGCAAACAAGCCAGCAGGCTAGGTACACCATACAATTACTATTGTAAAGAAGTTAGACGTTGTCAGGAGGTAGAAGCAGAGGAGACATGTTATGTGTAAATGCAAAACTATGACTATACAATGCTTTGTATAGAAAAGGAATTTCAACTATAGATTCAAGGTTTCTTGACGATATTGCGCAGGTTTCACAAATAAAAACTTGTGTACTGATGAACTTCTTCAGAAGCAAGCGTAGTAGCGTGAGGGTACTTTAGCGCCGAAAGTTCAAAATTGCGCCTACTAAAGACCTAGGTGTTTCCTCAGACAACCAACAGACTGCCTACTTACCTACCTACCGAGGTGCAATTGAAAAAGAATTAATTAGTTTTTTAATGCAAAAACTTTTTAACAGATTTAATTGACTGTTTTATAATTTAAATATAAAGTTGAGTTATTTTTGGTATCATGAAAAATGTATCTAAAAATTGAAGGACCGTTAGTCACTCAAAAATCGAAAAATCCTAAAATTATATGGATTTCATTTTATGACCCGAAATCTTGACATTATTGAAAAATGTTAATGAGTAAGAATTCAGTCTTCTTATTAATGGCGATATYCACATTTCTTCCTAATGGAAAAAAATTAACAGAACAGCATTTTTAAGCATTTAATTTTAGGAACMTAGACAAATTACTAATATCGATCATACCACTCTGTTTGTGAAGATATAATGGACGTTTGAGTTAGACTCTGAAGTTAATCATGACGCAATATTTCATTAATTCAGTCAATTAACGCYTAGTATTCATATAGAAAAACTACTAATTGACTAAATTAAAGGGCTTTCTGAACCTATTTTCAAAATATTAAATTTGAAAATGCCATTAGTTGATGGAGCTAMTTTAAAAAATTTAATTAGAATTAAGAATTAATTTAAAAAATTAAATTAGTTAATATTAAAAAAAAAATATTTTTTATGTAAATATTAAATTTATTTAAAAAATTAATTAATTCAAAAAATTGTATTTGTTTTTAATATCTATATCCATTATTGAAAATCTAAAAAAGTGTCTAAAATTTCTATAATTTTTTCGTTTTCGTTTACATCTTCATTCTCAAAAATTTTACACCAATAAAATTACCACTACAAATTCCAAGACTTAGGTAATATATCACTCACCTCAGCTTTGTCCTTCTCTTTGCGCGCCACTTCCTCAGCCTTGCGACGCCGCCACATACGCATACTCTCCTCCGCGTTTTTACGCTCCACCAAGCGCTTCTTGTCGTCGCACCACAATAATGGATGCTCGTAATGATCGCGGCAGAATTCATCACTGGTAGTCATTTTGCCCACCTGCGCTCGCAACACTCCAAAACACACACACACACACAAATGCACACAGAGTCTAGAGACTACACGTCTCGGCACACTAGGACGCAGCTGCTGCTGCTGCAACACTTGAATCTACGACACTTCCACACTAAAGGATTATTGCACATTAAATGCAGCGGAAACCCTCAATTCAAACTGTGTATGACGATGCGAGATGCGAATTTCGTGGAGAACGAATGACTGGCTGAAGGGCTTAAGCCTGTCTCTTATACACATCTAGATGTGTATAAGAGACAGCTTCCACACTAAAGGATTATTGCACATTAAATGCAGCGGAAACCCTCAATTCAAACTGTGTATGACGATGCGAGATGCGAATTTCGTGGAGAACGAATGACTGGCTGAAGGGCTTAMGCTGCGCTTACGACGTTCGCAGGAAACAAATAAATCTGCCGGAAATGAATGCTTTGCTCAAGTGTTGCCAAACAACAACTGGCGCGTCGCAGGTAAAATCGCGCGCCACCAACCAGACAAACTAGGAAATTCCGTGGAAAAAGTCAGCAGTCAGAAGCCAAACATGAATGCGCTGCCTGGTGCCTGGCACGGCGCTTACCATGCCATTTATAATCGAGCGCTAACACACASATACATACACTTAGGTTAAAGAAGCGCATCGTGTGCGCGCTTGAAATCAATACCTACCCGTAGGCGCACCACCTATTYACGGTTATTTAGGTGCTAACGGAGTTTTCGACTGACGCGCGCGTTGTCTTGGAGCTGAAAACGRCTTTGCGTTCGTTTCGGCGCTTCACTGCTGCAGGTGCAGCTCCTGCGACAACAACTACACTCGTGGCCCTACRGCACTCGCCTATTTATAGTCGCGTTTTGGGCGCGCGCGCGCTCGCTTACACAGCAAATTGGCATATATTGACATTACACGCAGCGCCCCTATAAACATACTCGTCGGCGCWTGTTGTTATTGTTGCTGYAGTGTACTTTTGCCCAAGTTTCGACTTCCGTGCGCGTTTGGCGCGCGTCCTTGAGGGCACTTGCTTTTTGTWCCGCTGMGATACACATTTTTGTTTGCCACTTAGCTTGCACCATATCGCCACACATCGCACTCGTATGYTTGCCTCTTTGTTCGTGCGTTWGCGCTGCAAAATGGCTGYACTAAAAGCTCTGGGTTAACGGGCCAGATAAATATTTTCCCATTCGTYTTTGCACACGCTCGCGCACTTTGCTGTATTATTTTGTTTACAATTTCGAAAGTAAAATTTTAAACTGTTTAATTTGTGTATGTGTAGTTAAAAGTGGCAATTTCACCTTCCTCTGGGTATTCACATTTACTTTCAACTCATCCTTAATCTTATCGAAAACATACATAAACTAGAAGTATKATCAACGCGTATTGAGCCCCAATTAAAATTACATATTTCGACGTTATTAACCCGGTAGGAATGATTTTGGGAATCACTGATCTCTCTTAAATCAACTTCTCTTTTGAAGTAATAGAAATTAATTCGCCAAAAATGTTCACAACTCAAAATCTTGAGAAAATATTAACATTTTCCACTTACATTTCACTCCAACTCTCCAAATGTTGACCGCGCCTACATCTCAGATAGTCACWCCRTTGARTMMAATTTTATATGACTKGTTCGAGCATTTCAACTRGTAACTASCAAAYGACACGAGTTATGTTTGCTTCATGGCCTGAAGCAAAGCGGAATTGTATGCATCATAGACTTAATACATACCCACAGGAAAATGTCTAAYAGTGCGATATTACACMATCTTGGTTGTCAATSGAACGGTCCWAAAGTGAAATTATCTGCTCACCAAWGTSTTCTCTSAATAAATCCAGTGATTGWTGCGATGTCTGGGAAGTGGTGTCAATTTTKCKTATTTACRTACCCATTAAGCCACAAATGGGAYCCATCRCTGAACAAAATTTGGTTCGAAATCGGATATTCTTGGAAATTTTCAAGGGCCCATAGAGCGATGCGATGTCGATGGGAAAGTCGAGCAGCTTCAGTTTTTGCACAAACTATATTTTTATATTTTACCCTTTCAATTTAAGATCTCGACAGTCTGAGTTGCTGAGAACGGCGCCGAATCCACTCTCCACGGTCTTCATGTAAACTTTCAGCGACAGCTGCTATATAATTTTTCAGTGCATTCTCAACGAAGTACCTTAATTTTTTAAATATGAATCTAATTTTATTTTGCTCACGTCCATTTATCTTCAATAAGCAGCTCATTTTTCGAAACTTTTCTTCCCAGCTAGCATTGTTTTGCGATCTGAGAACAAGAAAAAGTCACTGGTCGCCAGATCTGCCACTTTTTGGCGATTTCGCCGGTCAAATTATCCAATAACAATATGTAATAGTCGCTGTTGTTATCCAAAAATACAGACGGCAAAACTCTGCCTTTCCACGCTTGGGAGCGGTTTCGGAGTGAAATAATGGAACCATGTTTCATCGATTGTCACATATATGTAGATGCTAAATTTAAATTTATTACGCTTTGAGATCACCAAACACTGCTCCGAATCATCAACACGTCGCTATTTTTGATCTAAAGTGAGATCTCGCGACACTGACTTTGTACATAGATTTCTCATACCAAAATATTCGTGAATAATAAGATGTACACATTAACTTGATATCTTTAGTGTGCCTGCTGTCTCGAACAACTTCACTTTATTGTCATCCAATGTTATTTTGTGGACTTTTTCGATGTTTTCATCGATAAGAACCTCTTTGGGCGCCCACTGTGTTCACCGTCTTCGATGCTCATTTCAGCATGTCTAAACTTAGCATAACAATCCTTATTGGTTGATTTTCTTGTGGCAGAGTTCGGAAATTCGTCATTCCTCCAAGGTTTTGCTTCAACTATAATCCAATTTTTTATTATCTATAATTTTATCGTTTTATCCATATTTTTTAAATAAAAACAAAGTTGCCTCACTCCAAATCATATAATTCACAAACTAATGATCCGACAGCTACAAAATTTTTACATGCGCCTTCTAAAATTGTGGACTAACCAATAGTTATATGGACTTAGTTCCAATAGTAACATCTAAACCTTCCCGAAATGTCATTGGCTTTCACGGCTATCGTGGAAAAGTGCGTGTAGTTTTTTGGAACACCTTTCTCTATTGAACAATATAGGCTTAACTATGGTTTCATAGAGCCAAGACCTTTGCCACATTTTAGCAATAAATATCTTGCAGTTAACTCATGGACGCACGTTTTTAGATGTCCAGTTGCTTATGATGCAAGAATACCACTGAGTTGGCTTATACGATGTAAGTAATCAACCGTAATCCGATTTCCTCAATCTTTTCAAGAAGATCATTGACAACCATGATCCAGAAAAGTCTCGAATCAACATGAACTCCCCCATGTGGCAGTCTTTCTCATATTTCTACGTTTTCTATTTAAATACTCAACTATCTCATTTTCTAATGAATTCCTGCAAATGCAATCGTTTTCTTGTACTACAATTTTTTATTAAATCATAAACTCCATTCAGATGTCTTTGTACCAAATATTTTTCCTCTTTGAAATGTTGCGTGGCTTTCAGTTCGGCCAGCGATTGCTCTACTTCCGATTGCTTTATTTATATATCCGTAACATTTTATTGCCCCGAGCACTTAATTGAATCACGCCATCGACACACACTCGAACAACTGGTCAGCTACTTAGTTAGCTGCAAGATAAACAGTACTTGTTGATATTTAGAGTGTACACAGCCATACACACGCACATACGTTAGCACATTTCAATAATTACCAACACACACGCACACATCTAGGAGTGCATATGTGAATGTATGCATGACGAGTTAAGCACTCTAAGCCCGCATTAAGCAGCGAGTGCGGACAGTAAGTAGGACTTCCGGCGCGTTTTGCTCATCCATCAATGCTCATGAGTCAATAACTGCAACATCCTGTACTAAGATATGAAGGAGGTGGGGCGGTTGAGAGATAATGAGATGAACGCTTGTGCGCTATAGCGTTGACCCACATTACCTACCGTCCACACAGGCTTTTAGCTACCTGATTTTGTTGTTACTGTTGCCTTTGGCGAGAAAGTAAAGAATGCTGGGGGGAATTTTCGAATAGTTTAAAGCCTTTTTACTTTTAAAAACCTGTGTATGCACTCTTACATATGGTAAATACGACAGAGGACCGTTTTATAAGCCGAATCGAAGCTTTGTTAGATTTAGCAGCAAAAATCTACATTATATTCATAATATAATAATTTAAAATAAACTATAGAGAATTTGGCCGATTTCTTAGATGTTCAGATTTCCTTATTCGTATTTTCAATTTTTCTTTAACTGCTGCACCTCTTCGCCATAACATTTCGAACAGGCTTTTGTATCTCCAACGAAGGTATATTCTCATTGGAAAATATTGAACCGTACGCTTAGAGAGCAGAAGAGAGACTACTATTTTATTTTTGGAGTAGAGATTTTCTTGTCTTAAGATTTCCGGCTATATGTGCTCTACTTTAACCAGAAAAAAAGGGGACCCCACAATCTGCGCCAACTACGGTGGGATAAGGCGTCAACAAACTGATTGGACTTTATCAGTTGTGTGACTTTAGAACTGGAAAATCAACAACTGACCAGATATTCACCATTCGTCAAATCTTAGAAAATACCCGTGAAAAGAGAATCGATTCCACTTCTTCATCGATTCAAAAGCTTCTTTTGACAGCACGAAAAGAAGCTGCCTTTATKCCGCGATGGCTGAATTTGATATGCCCGCAAAAAACATACGGCTGKGTAAACTGACGTTAAGCAATACCAAAAATTCCGCCGCGATCGGGAAAGACCCCTCCGAGCTGTTCGATMACAAACGTGGTTTCAGAAAGTAGAAAATAATTTGCACTACAGATCAGAATAAATAGATAATAAGTACAACCWTWTACAAGAATGTACAACWGCTGATGTACGCCGATGATAYTGATAACATTGGCCTCAACAYCYGSSAMGTTRGTTCTGCTTTCTCYATACTGGATAAGGAAGCAAAGTAAATGTGTCTGTCATTGAACGAGAGCAAGACGAAATAYCTTCTSTCATCAAGCAAACAGTCATAACTTCGAAGTCGCACTTCTACTTCRGACYGAGTAGGCAACTGAGAAGTAAAGTACTCTCTTGACGAACAAAGAMCAAATTYTGCAAGTCACTCATTATTCCCGTCCTGCTATATRGTGCAGAKATATGGACGATGATAACTTCTGTTGAGTCAGCGGTACGAGATTTCGAGGCAAAGATTTTGCGGAAGATTTATGGTCCTTTGTGCATTCAATGGAACGATGARCGCAACGAGATATAAGACGACATTCAGATAGCTCAGCGAATTAAGAGACAGCCGCTTCGCTATCTAAGCAATGACGTCCGAATGGATGAAAAAACTTTATATTTCCAGAATCTAGAAAGAAATTCGTTCCGTTTATTATGAACTAGAGTCAGCATGATCTGTTTTGTTGGATTGCGGTACTGCAAGGGATTTTTTTTTTCTATATCGTCAAAGATTCTTTCTCTTCAATCAACCTGAAGTTAAAATTACATATCCCAACACGCTTCACGGATTTATTGTAAAATAAAACTCATTGTAAAAACTGACTTTTCCAACCGCCCTCTTTCGCAACTACACAAACTTCGTGTTTGCACACACATGCACTATCACGAGTCACTCATTCCWACCTCGTCACCGCCAGTCTATTTGYTTTTAAGTCCATCTCATTCAGTTTATAGAGTGCTAGTGTTCCCTTTGAGCGTTTTACTGAAGCCGACAACAAAGTAGTTGCCATTGGAGAATTCGTAGCGCTCAACAGAAGCGGTAGGGCGTCAGCTACATTCTAGACTTTTACTTAAAACAACAGCTGCATTTGTTTGCWCTGCTTCAGCGATGGACTTGGCACTTCACCAGTAACACAAGAACATACATTTACATACACACATGCATGTTTCAAAGTAACGTTGTAGGGCTTTGAGAGCAAACAACGCATGTCATTCTTTGTTGGAATCGCGCTAAACAAAAACAATAACAACACTTAAGCCATTTGGCCTTTTATGGAAAGGATTAAATATATGGAATATTCAGTTGAGCGAATGCCAGCTGTTGCCAACTCATCGACACWTTTCACCATTTTAATACACTTACACATACAGGCATGCGATGTAAGCGCGCGCTTCGTTGAGAAAATGTATTTGACCCTTCACACCGCTGCTTTGTGCCTTAACTGGGCCACTGGCGTATATGTTTACATATCAGCTACTCGGTCAAACAGCCGCTGAATGTAAACAGTATGTTGCATACCTACATATATAAGCACGCAACTTATTTTTACCCTTTTCTGTAACATTTTTTGCTTAAAATTACGCATTGCCATAATCTTTAATGCTTAGAAAAATATACTTGAACTAAATGTGATTTTTCACGAGAAAAWATGACAGATGTGGAAATAGCGGCCAAAGGATTTTTATGACGTCCGACTAAATAGCATTTAGAGTCACTGGCCGGCACATGGCAACCCCCTTTTTCTATTACTTCTCGCCGCGGTTCACTTTTAAAGTGGAGGCCGATAAGAGCCAGTAATTTGRGATTACAGAATTGGATTAGATTTGGATAAAACCTTGCTTGGATTGCAGAACGCCGATTAACGATTTTATGGTATTTGGTAAGTCCGAAGGAGAAACCAAACACCAGAAATCAAGACAGCAATGACTGTAGACTTTTATCTGGCAACGGACCGGTTCCCACGACATTCGGGTCTACCTAACCGGAACAGACCGGGATTTTCATCCGCCCAAGGACTGCCAACATGGTAGGATTCTACCGCTACAACAACAAAAACATCCGGCAGCGGACTCTCAACTCGGCAGCATTTGGTCAAAATTATTTTGCAATTTTTTCTGCTGCTGTAATAATAACAAAAACAGCAAGAAAAGAGTACTTCACATTTTATATAAATCTTCAACTGGTATAACTTTTGGCTGTTAAAAAATTAAGCAGTTATAAATTCGAAGAAATAATTAACTCATATAAATAGCTATAATAGTTAACTGGTACAAATATTAAATAATAAACTGGTATAAAAAGGTACAACTTTYAAATTATATAATTGTAACTAATAATAAAGTGGTATAAATGTGTATAACGTTGAACTAGTACAAATTTCGAAACTAATGCACTGGTATAACTGTGTAACATCTTCAACTGGTACAAATTTAGCAGCCAATGAACTGGTATAAACACGAATTGCCTTCAACGGGTACAAACTTAGCTACTAATGAACTGAAATACAGTTATTGCCTTGAACTGGCGTAAGGTTTAACAATTAATAAAATTGGACAAATTTAACATATAATAAATGTGCATAACCTTCAACTCGGACAATTATAGCACTAATTAGGCGGTATAAACATTTATTGGCTTCAACAAGTGTAATAATAATTTGTTTTAAGAATTAAACTTGTCTAAAAACGCATAAAAATTAACTAGCATAAATTTTTACATTAAGGAATCTGGTATAAAGCACAAAAATTAACAAATTATAAACTGGTATAATTTTTCCGATTTTTAGTATATTATATATCAGTAGATAATTATAAACTGGTCTAAACTGCTATAATAATAAATTGTAAATTGGTATAAATGTTCTCAACATTTACTACACTAGTATACACGCATTTCTATCAGTAAAAACAATTGCTTTTTGGTTTTAAAAACAKTTTATTTCTTTAGTCAGCATAACAATTCGTACATTTCTCAGTGATTTATTTTGTAAAAAACAATTATTTGTATTATGCAATTTGTATACATACATACATACAAATATATACATATTTAGATAGCTTAATATTTTGTGTAAACATATTTCACGTGCTTGTAAAATTTTCAAAATATCAAAGAGGATATATTATTTAACAAAACAATATTTTAAATCATTTTCATACAATTTAATTGCAATGAAATAGAAAACAAATTATAATTTTTACTAAATTACAGTTATGTGCGCACAGAAAGATGTTGTTATTGTAGCGAGTGGATATATATATGCACGGTGTCTAATAGAAAAGATGGAGAGTTAGGCTGTATTTTTTYGAAATTTGATGTTTTATTAAATATTTATTGTTTGTTTTATTGAAAATGTAACTTAATTTTTCTTTATTTCATATTAAAAAAGTTTAATTTTAATTTTTTTAATTTTGTATCTTCGATTTCTTTTTTCATATGGGCTCTAAAGCTCTCACATCTGAAAGTTTTTCTACTAAAAAAAACTTTTTCTAGTTGTGAATAAGTTTATATGACTATATAATTTTTTCAAAAAAAAAAAAAATTCGTACGCACATCTCTTTTAACTATCGTTTTTTTTTCAAAAAAAAAAACAAAATCGTACGCACATCTCTTTAATCGATTTTTCTTTAATTTAATTAAAATTGAACTCAAAGTTTCTCTTTCTTTACCATACGCTTGGGATAGTTGCTCTCAGCAGTTAACAAAAAAAATTTTTTCGCTTTAAGCAATCATAAAATTTGTTGCACGCTATATACAYATATAGTTCTTTAGCATTATATATACATATAAAAATCTATCAAAATTCCTYCTCAAATATCTTTAGTAAATTGTTTTTAGTATTTCAAGAACACATTCGTTATATTTGCTTTCATAATTATACTTTCTAAGTTGATCCAGCGCCAACTCGCTCGTTTGTACAATGGTTATGTACATGCGTATGTACAGTTATTTCATGTCCCTCTACATATATAATTATTTATTTTCTTCTTTYCTTGTTGCTTTTCATRCAAACTAAATTGTGTTTGCACCAACCTTTCTCCCATTTTGTTTGTTTGCTTGTTTATTTGCTGGCTTTTTAAGTATGTCAGTTGCTGTTTTTGTTGTTTTGTTTTTTTCGCATATAATATATAAACATTACTATGTATGTATTTAGTTATATACACATTAAATATTTTCCGTTTGGTTTAACTTATTTCCTGCGCATATATTTT